CGATCCGCGAATCTAAGAAATGATTACTACTTTCATCCATGCGAGATGAGGACATACATTTTCCCGCGCGTCGATCGAACTTGTCGAAATTATATCAGTCGAGTCTCCCTGATTATAGCTGGTATCAGTTTTTCTGTTTTTTGACGGATGGAAAAAAATTACTTTTTGTTATTTTTTGAACACCCTGTATATATTATTAAATATATAATAGGGTGTTCAAAAAAGGTGGTTTTAAATTTTAGAAGTATGTAGTAGTCGTAAAAATAAACCAAAAAGTCTTAATAAGTAGTACTTTAAAAATCATTTATTGTACTTTAAAAATCATTTATTGCCGAGTTACAAAGTATTTTCTATTATTAAATAAATTCAATCTACAGCAGATGTTCAATTTGCTCTCCGTTCATTTCAACACACCATTCGGCACGCTTTCTCATTGAAGATCGAACACGTTCAAAGATTCCAGGTTTATTTCGTATTTATTGACAACAGCTTTCAATTTTCTGTTCCAATGTGTTGATCCAATGTGTCAACTGATGTGGCGTACACCATACTCTTCAAGTGTTCCCATAAATAAAAGTCTAACGGATTTAAATCCGGTGAGCGAGGTGGCTATGCAACTGGACCGCCACGTAAATATATCATACAATACATGCTCGAAATGAGTTCTATCTATAACAAAAAATGCTTTATAACTCGGAAATAAATGGTTTCTGGAATACTACTTATTAAGGCTTTTTGGATTGTTTCTATGAGTACTACATATCCTTATAATTTGGTACCGCCTTTTTTAAACACCCTGTATATATATCTCGTCATCCCGTCCCAATCGCACCACCAGTGCCAATTACCAGGCACCCTGTATACTCTGCGTGGCGCGACGATATCCCGCGGAAGCCGGGCGTAACCGCGTCGAGAATTGGGTGCCGTTGGGTAGCGAGCGCGAGCAACGGGAGATACGGCCAGGCTAGAAACGACCAGGAGGAGAGAGGTTGGAAACTGTGATGCCCGCAAAAAGCATGGCAGACAGCGCCGATCGTTTTTGCTCGGCGTCAGCCGCGTTCCTACCGCCGCATCGTCGTACTTCGTGGTGGTACATCGTTCTACCCTCTCGCTTCCTCCCATCCCTGCCTCCCACCCGCTATAGCATTTCCCATCCTTCCCTCTGTCCTCTTTGTCCTCTCTCTGCCATAAGTTCTCTCTTTCTCTTTTTCTCACGCTTTCTCGTTCTCGCTCCCTTCTCTCGTCCTCCCAGCTTCCCTATGTCTCTCTCTTCTCACCATGACGTTCGGGTTGTCGCGATCCATCTATCTGTCCATCTCTCTATCTCTGTTTGCGTGTTCCGTTCAGCTCGGGATCGTGCAAACGGATGGGATTACCATCTCCTCCTCCTTCTTCGCGGTTTACGTATCCAGGAAAATGGATTACATTCGTATCGCTGTGAGAGAATTAGTGGGCGTCCTAGAGGATCCGTTCTGGAATCGAGACTTCGTCATTAACTTCATCATCGGCTGTCAGGATTGACCGGCAGCGAAAATTGGACTGCCGCTGAGCGATATTGGAACAATCGGATGTCCCGAGAGACACGAAATGATAAAAGTGCCTTCAATTCAACATGTGCAGACTTCATTTTTTTATTTAAAGATTACTGTAATAACTTTGATCGAAATTTAGCTAGTAATTTAGTGTGCATGTTCATGAACATTTTTTTTTCTTTATTAAGCTTTATGTATAAAAAAAAAAACGCAAATTTGTTTGCTCGGTACAATCCTTATTTAGGCGAATTGTGAGCGTACGCGACCTTGCGCTAATTTTCGGGAGCGTCTTGATCGCACGAATCAAAGATTACCCAACTTCTCTTCTCCCCGATACGCCACGATCTTGCGCGTTCTCCTCGCAGCCTTGGATCCCGAGTGTATCCTCAAGCTCTCCTTCTTAAGAACATCTCCACGGCCCCTGACAGGCTTGACTAATGGTCATCCTGCATCCGCCCTCCGGCTTTATACTTCTCCGTCTCGCTCTCTTCTTATGCTTCCGCGCGTTCACGCAATGCGATGTCTCCGTCTTTCCCTTTCGCAGGACGGCGATATCAGCACCGGCTTTAAGCGTTTTAGTTAGCGCTAACTAAAAGGATCAACGAGTTTTCTAACTTGTCCGATGATTCTAGAAACGAGTGATTTGTTTCGGCTATATATTTTAACAAAGAGAGAGAGAGAAAGAAGAGAGAACCAAACTTACACAAATATACAGGGTGTTAAAAAAGGGTCACATATTTTGAGAGCAGGTAGTATTGATTGAAACACAAAAAAAAGTCTAATTAACATGGGTCCTACAATTAATATCTTCGAAGATATAGGCTATGTTTCTATTTGTCCTTTTCTTATTGGTTATGTCATCTCTGCAATAAATAAAAGAGTACTTACTAGTTTTGCAGTCAGCATTATAGGAGGTGTTCTATGTGGTTCTCATTCAATGTCACGCATTTTCAACCCTAATTCTTAGAGAATCATGCATTCTTTTAAACACACTCGGATTTTTGCTACCTACCTATAAACCCAATGTTATTATAAGCCAATGTTACTATAGCAAAACTAGTAAATACTTTTTTGTTTACTGCATTATAGAAGTGACATAACCAATAAAAAAAAGGACAAAGAGCTCAAATAGAAAGATAGCCTGTATCTTCGAAGATATCAGTTGTAGGACCCATGTTAATTAGACTTTTTTTTCTTGTTTTGATCAATACTACCTGCTCTCAAAATATGTGAGCCCTTTTTTTTAACACCCTGTATATAAATTTATATGCGAAAAAAGTAGAAATTTTTGTTTTAATAAATCATAAAACACTGAATAATGTATCGAAAAAAAGATAATGATATAATCTTTCATTTTTTATACATTTTTTGTTTCTTCAAATTATTAGAATGCTGAGAAAAAATACCTTGCCATTATTAAAAATATTGTTTATTAAGATTATTAAAAAATATGTACCAAAAGATCATAAAAGCCTCTTTGTTACTAAATAAAAAGAATCTCCCTCCCTCCCCTATTATGTTGCACCATACAACCCCATAAACGGCGAAACGTTTATTTTATAGGCTTCTTCTTTGTCGGTACAACAAATTTAAAAATTTTACATTGTTACAACGATAACTTGTTGTAATTACTTATTTATTCGCGGAACGGTCATTGCAAGATAAAACGTACCGACGAAATAGAAAGGAAGACCGGTCTTTTCTTTTTTTTTACAAAAGAACAATTCAAACGACCTTCGGAAAATCACATTTTTATTTTTAACTTAAACAATATAGATAGCCTATTGTAAAACCGAACCCTTTCCCCAATTAAAAAATACAACCTGCAAGCTGTATAGCCATTTATTTTATTTCGACCTGGCTGTATTATATCTTTCTTTCTTCGATTCTCCAACTCTCCAAGCAGCAGAAATGACAAAAGTAAGATGTACATTCGTATATGTCTCTGACTTATTGTTAGTGAAGAGCAATAATTAATCTCACAAGTAACATTATTTCGTCTTTTTGAATTTTGCGAGAATATTGTCACGCTGTAATATTAATCGCGAAACGAGCGGTCTTTCTGTATTCTTTTTGTTTACTGTCAAGTTTTATGAAATAGCTTCGTAATATCATATGATTATTTATACACTGATGCAACCGTTCGCTCTGTGTACTCAGCACAGTACGCGATCGTAAAATTCCGCATAGTCCTCATAAATTAGTTAAGGATGTTTTGGCTGTACAATAATAACAAAAAGCTGTCGAAATTTTAAAAAAGATATCTTTTTTAACTTTATACTGTTTGAAAAATCAAATAAATAAATCTGGATTACAAAAAGAATTAAAGTATCACAAAATAATATAGTTTTTAACGTCTTCGTAAAAGAAAATAGTTGTAATTAACATTTTTCCTAATTTATGACAAAAATTTTTGATGAATGCCCCCTGGAATCAACTGCAAGAAACAAAAAAAAAACGAGTAATTTACAGAAAGATTTCGCATTACAATAAGTATTTTTCTACAATTTTTAGTAATAACTTTTAAATGAGTAAGTGGATCTAAATCAAATTTTGCATCAATATTTACTAGAGTTTTATTAATATGTGTGAAAATTTTTATTTAGCTGGAAATGTGTTTTTTCCTTATCAAATTTATCAATAATATTCTACAATACGATTTTCCATAAAAATCAATACAAACCTTAAACTTAAATAACTTCCAAACCGTTAAGAGAATTGTGCTCAGGTTTTACACAGATACTCAGAAGAAATAGTAGAACAGTCTACGAAATTTTCATGCTTTTGTCGATGTTTTGACATATGATACATCTTTAAACGAGCTGATGGAATATTCTCGTGCGAGGATCCGAACCGCACAAGAATAGAAAAAGAAAAGAGAAATTATTTTATGCATTTTTATTCTTCTTCTCGTTTTACATATTATCGGATTATAAAAGTTGCGTTATAAATAGTTTTTTGTTTAGACGCTCCGATTAGATATGCTCAATCATTCACTTTCCGCTGCTTCTTTCCCGATGTGACTCGTTCGTTATATATGTGCAGTTTTCATTAATCTGATACACACGTATATGTGCATGTTTGTAATAACAAACAATAGGAAGAAGATATCCGTCCGCATATTTTTCAGCGCTATCAATACCGTAGATCCTCTTTTTCATTTTCTGTTATTACGGCGAGGAAATAATAGATAATACCTGCGCTTCGACGATGGACGTAAAAACAAGCGCGTGAGCAAATAAATCCTCGTGTGGTTTTTAAAATATATTTTTGCCGATTTCCCGCAGAAAATTCGTCTCGTTAAATAATAAAATATAGGAAATTTAATATATGCAGAAACATATAATAAATTACAATTTGTTTGATATCGAAATGTATAAGAAAAACTAATAAAATTTATAATTTAATACCATAAGATACGACTAAGATACGTTTTTTCTCTTCAATAATTGACTCTTTGTGTTTCAGTAAGCAAGCTGTATTCGATGGGAAGAAACCTATCAGAGGCGGCATACCATTCGTTTTCCGTAAGTAAATACAGTGTAACGTGTATAATATACAAATATTATTTGATTGTAATTTCCTTTCGTTCAGAATTATTTTTATTAACAGCATTAAAGTAAAAAACAAAAAAAATTATTGGAGCAATTTTAGAGGAACAAGTTCTAACTTAAAAAAAAAAGACTAACTCTTGAATCTCGCGAATTATTGTGACATCTTGAAAAGCTTTAAGATATAGCTTTTAAAGATGTATAAAATCAGAGCGACACTTGAGTGACTCTTGGAGTGATCCGATATGCACGTTATTTCCGCAGCACAATTCGGAGCATGGTCGTATGGGCCGGCCCACGGCTTTGCCAGAATCATCCGTTGGAATGTGGAAAAGTCACCGGAACGATTGCCCAGCGGGGACATCGAGGCGATATTTTCGATAATGGACAGCGAATGTACGCGACAGATGTGGAATTCACATTTCAGATTAACGTACAGGCTAATATTGCGCGAGAAGGAATTGCACTTCAATATCGGCGTGTACAATCCTAGCAGAGATGACACGTTCAGCTTTAATTTGCTCCTACACACTTATTTCAAAGTGCCCGACGTCAGGAGATGCCAAATCACAGGGCTGCACGGGTGCACGTTCATCGACAAGGTAGCGAAAATTTTCTTTGCTTTTTATTTCTTTGCAAATTAAGCCGATAATTAAAATGTAATTTAATCGAGAGTTCTTACTGGGATTATTAAAGAGCCGCTTACTTTTCAATTAATTATTCCTTCTCTCGATATCATCAGTGAAGAAATAATTATTTCTTAATTACCGTAAAAATCTATCATTAAATTTTAAGTCGATGCTTGCAGTTTAAGGGGACATACTCGTTTGAAACCTCAAAAAATGAGTACATTTTCTAGATTTTTTTTTACAGCGCAACGACTTGATAAAAATTTTTAATTTTTTTTACGGTATTAGTTATTATTAATACAATATTATTAACTATTTAAATAAAAATTTTCAGCTCAAAAAAAATTTTCTTTTTAAGTTATGGGAATATTTGCGGAGCTCCTCCAAATTTTAGGTGGCTGCACGATGGGCATAAAAACTTTCGTAGATCATATCTGAAATCAAAAATCTAAATTTTTTCTTATTAAACATTGTAATAGCTATCTGCTATACAAGCGTTTTTTCAAAATTTTAAAAAATAAAAAAATAACGACGTGTTGAAAAAAAGTTTCGGTTTTTCGAAAAAGTTTTTTTTTTTTAATAACAAAAAAATGGGGGATCGGATTAAAAAAAGGCTTTGTTGGCAGATGTGGAATCTTATTAGAAACTCACATGTAAAATTTGAAGTCAATCCGTCGAACGTAACCCGAGTTTTCATGCATGAAAACCGTGCATGAAAACATAAATCTGTAAATATTCGCATAACTTCAAAAAAAAAAAAAATTTTTTTAAGCTGAAAATTTTTATTTAAGTAATCAATAATATTGTATTAATATCGTAAAAAAATTAAAAATTTTTATCAAATCGTTGCGTTGCAAAAAATCTAAAAAATATACTCATTTTTCGAGATTTCAAACGGGTATACTCCCTTAAAAGCAGTATATATGAAAACTTTACTGATCGCGCTGCCTCACAAAATGTTTCATTCTCGCGCACACACATACAGACTAGGGACAACCAAATCTTTCAAGAAGGCCGCGATGTTGTCACGGTGTGCGAATGGACCGACAGGATCTACCAGAACACGCAGCCGGAGCATATCATCACGAATGTCGTTTCCGGTAGAAAGATGCGCGTGCAAAAGTACAACTTTCCCGACACCGTCGTATGGAATCCCTGGCAGGAGAAGGCACGCGACATTCCGGATTTCGGCGATGACGAATTTCCCAACATGATATGCGTCGAGAGCGGACACGTCAGTAGTCCGGTCATACTGTTGCCGGGGACGGCCTTTGAAGCGAGCCAGATACTGCAGGTACTAACTGTCCCGATCAGTAACGTATCAAGTCGGATGCGGTTACTCCGCCGATGCGATATCATTGCAAATTCTGGATGATACTGCAAATGTATCATTGTAATACAGACTAAACCGATAGAGAGAGAAATCAATATTAAAATTATCATTATTATACCACGCGATTCCGGTGAATTTCAATCATGCTGTAAACGTATTAATAAAATATTACCATCACACATTATCACATTATATATAAATATTATTAAAATGTTATTAAATTTTGTATTCTAAATAATCCCCCCTTTGAAAGGAGTTTCCATTCGGAGACAGAAAGGTTACAAGTCTCTTATGAAAAATCTTATATGAGTTAATAGGACGAGTGTGACGCTGTGTTAGTTTTACATAAAGCATAAACAGAAGTACTGGAGCGATAATGGAATAGCTGCGAATGTCACGCAATATTTATTCATTTTACCATGATATAAATTCATGCAAACCAATATGCTAAATAATTATTCTTACAATAACGTAAGATACGTTCGAGATATTAAAAAGAATGTTGCTCGAAATGTAGTCTGAGAGATTAAAGTCCCTGATCATTAAACGTGACGATTACGTTGCGAAGTAATAGAAAATCGAATTTCATGAACTTGGTGCCTTCGCGCTTGACCTTGTTTCAGGTGATGTGAGTAGAGAGTGGACCGACGTCACACGTCAGTACCGGAGGCAGTACCAATTCGTTGCTCCCGACGTCCTCCTCATCGTCCGCGGTCTGGCCAGCGGGCGCTGGCTGGCTCTACATGCCGCCACCACCGCCACCTCCCCCGCCGCCACCGCCGCCACCCTTACCGTCGCATCCATCGCACCCATCCCATTTACACTCGCATTGCGTTGCCCAAACCTGCACGATATGCTCTTTGAATCTTTAGACACGCTGAGCAGACTCGCGGTCTGCAAACGCGAACGAGCTCTTGAATCAGACGTTTTCTCGAAAGATTTATACGTAGACCACTGTACATAGTGGAAAACGTATCTTTTCTTTCGACATATTCGTCGAAGAAGTGGTGATTCGCGTAATAAAGCAGAGTAATTTGGTTAATCTTGTCGAAAAATTTTTTATTTCGTCGACTTTACATCCGTTTGTTTTTACCTTTGCGCTTTGTCTGAAAAAATTCAAAATGGTCAACCGAATCTCAACGAGAATGTGAGGAATCGATCGATCTGTCTCTCTTTGGTTTCCAAACAATAATAATAATGATAAAATGTACAAGATTTATAAGTGAGTTGTTTCCAGCATCGTCCTCGCTTGTTTCGATAAAGATAACGTTATCTCGCTTGCGACGTCTATTGTTCTTTTATCGAAGGTATTGTAAAGCTACTACAGGAAGGTATTCCTGTAGTAAATATTACGCAAAACAAAATAGTATCCTTTTATTTGGTTTTCGAAGGACACTGTCCTAAAGAAACGATCGTTCTAAAGTTTAATCGATCCGTTATAAATATTTACATATACATTCCACATATACCGCTATTTAGATGGAAAACAAAAGAGTGATATATATCACGTCTCTTATTTCATACTCATCATTTTTGAATATTAGTACACGATACATTGTTTATAGGCATATATGGCATACATAGATTGGCATGTAAGCGACTTTGCTACATTCACGTGTGCGATAAGACTTTCACTATAAATTTTTCCAAGTATTGTGATGTAGTTATTTGTTAGTTTCGATAAACGACGACTCTATCGGATTTATTTGCTATAAGATATATATTTGAAATTCGTAAAAAGCAGGAAATGCATTTTGTGTGATGTATTTTGCGTTATACAGATACTATCTGCAATATAGAAATATCATAGAAACTTTCAGACATATATTTTCAGGATTATTTATATATTTATATATATATATAATTAAAAAGATAATTGAAGAAATTTATATCTTGTGCCGAATCTATTCCTTATTAAACAAAAAATGAAGTACAAAGCATCTGCAGTAATTTGATTAAAAAATTAATTATTATGACAAAAATGATAAAAAAGTTTTCTTGTCATTATAATTGTTTAGAGTATCGATTTTATATCATTTTTTAAGACATGATGGAAACGCGCCCGCTTATACTAATGCAACATGTACATGAATTTGTTCAATTTGCAATACATAATTTATCTATGAACAATATAAAATATGGTGCTACTGTTACGAATATAGTGTTGTAATGATAAATAGCAATACATACACACACAGTAGATAAGCTCAGTCGACATTTCTCTGCAATTTCAAATATAATCTTCTTTCAAAATTTTTTATCCTGGAGATATCGCATTTCGCGGTCACATCTTTCCACGTGCAAGAAGAAACGTTTCATCATCGAAATAGATATAAGTAAATATATTTATACCGTAACATATTGATTGCGATATTATTATAAAAATTATACATGTGTATACGGAACATTTGTAAAGACTAATGAACAGGTTGACGAGGGAAATAATATTCTGCCGCCCATTTCTAGATAATTGTATTATCATTGAGAGCTTAAGACACTCGAAAGCTTGATCGAAACTCAGTTTAAGTGTGATGGCGAGTTTAATAAGTTAGTTGAATTTTATATTGAAATTCATTAAATTTTTGAACAAACCTCGAATGTTTTACTCGAATTCGATAATTGCGAAATTGACAAAAGTAAATAAGCGTATTTTTTTTTAATATAAATATTTTACGTTACTAAAAAAGAAGAATCATTATTGTGAATTAATAAAAATACGCGAAATTGAAAAATTAAGTGTCGATAAAAAGAGAAATCGGCAAAATCACGAGTCTATTATATATATATTCTTTTTTTTAACGATATAGCCAAGCACACGTGTGTATTATTCATTATCCGGATATACATTCCAAGTGACAATTTCTTACGTTATACGTATTCCCGATGTCACTTATGTAATATTAAAAACAATATCACGTGTAAATTCTCTTCACAAATAGACTATCACGTATTAGTAGTGTACCATTATAATTAAAAGTAAATGCTCAACATATACCGCGTTATTCTTCGCATATTATGGACTTTGAGAGCCAAATGAAATAAAAAGAAAAAAAAACACGAACGAAACGTTCCTGCTTATAGATGTGTTAGAAACGTGAAAATACAGCCTAGTAAATCCGAATACGCAATTAATGTAACTATCCGGAATGAAATAATTCAATTTCGGGATTTTTGCGCTGAGTATGCTATACTCTCAAGAGGGTTTTGGTCTTTAGAGGCTAGACAATACGTTCGTCATTTAGTATAGCGTACATTCTCTTTCCCCACGCTGTTAGCGATTAAGATTCGGTCTTCCATCCGCAGTGACGTTTATCGAATCGCATCGTACACCATTCTCTCATTCGACTCAATGTTAATAATCACGAATATTTGTAATAAAGCGAAGTTATGAAAAAAATTCGCGATTAAAATTAGTACGTTAAGAAAGTGTACTCTTTTTTGGGAAAGTGCAATAAAAATATGGGAAATAATTGTACAATCTCAACCTTTCCACCTTTTTTTACTAGCTTATATTCTTAATATCTTTATCAGTAATTATAGTTATTATAGTTATTATGGTATCGTAACGAATAAAATATCGTATGAAAAATATTACATTTATCGTATTTGGGATGGAAAATTTAAGAATTATACATGTTAAACTTTGAACAGTTTATTACGAGCGAAAGAGAACGATGGCAAGCATATACGTATCTAGTAGTCGCTCGCTTCTTACACATTTAATTAGATAACATATTAAATAAGTATGCGAAAATTTGAATTTACAGATTGAGGAAATTAGTACTACAAACGTCGTATTATTTAATTAATATCCTTATACCTAGAAAAATCAGTCAAACGCGCATTTTCTTTGACTGAATTTAGCTGTAGGTAACGTCGAGTTTTATACACACCGGCTATATAACTGTTTTTGTGAGCAATGTATAAATAACAAGATAATCGAGGCTAGGTCCTGCAGTATGTCATACAACCGATAGGGTTGTATACGGCCGACAATGGAAAAATTCTCTAACATCAAAAACATGACGATTCCTTTATGCATTTTTGGTTAGCATTAACCTTTGTGTCTCTTATATCCGTGAATCTTTTTAATATAACCATTGCGTGTGTGAGAATCGTTTTTATCGTAAAAATTTATACACCTTCTCCCCTGAATTACCTCGCCGCCTGCTTAGACTTATCTGGTTCCTGTTGTTTCTTAAGTTGTTTCTCTCTCATTCGTTCCGCGTCACTGTAAGCAGAAACGTATATAAGTTATGTCATAAGTATTGTTAAAAAATTATGCAAAAAAATAATGCGTAATTCATTTATTTAAACTCTGAACGTTTACCGTGCTTTACGTTGCTCCAAGGAAAGACCTTTGTTACTGTCTTGTTCAGACGCTGCCTTCTTTACGGTTTTTTTCAAGTTCTTGGCTCGTGCTAGTTCACGTTGATTTCCGCCTACGACGTAGTTAAACATATAAATATATTTTTTTTTTTAATATCAGATTTAAAATCCGTTTGAATGCGGTGGGCACGCGCATGCGCATGCGCAAACAGCGCAACATCACCTTCCTTCGATCGAATTAGTAAAATGGTGGCGCAAACGCGCAACGCGCTCGTACATACACATAACTCCAAAATTTATTAAAGGGCAATTGCAACTGAGTACATACGAAATCGATCGATCCACGCGACCGGCGAATCGAATCATTCGCGATTTCTTGACAATTTTTATCCATGCTACCTTTTATATCCGAAAAGCGCTGCTACTTATGACAAAATGGCGGCAAGTAAAACAGTGAAGTGAGCTACGACATGGAGCAGATGTTCCACCATGTTTACTCGTACATTCGGAGTCGAGCAGTGTCAAAATCGTATGTCGAATATCTTCCCTATACTAAAATACTAAAATGTATCATTTTCGTCATCGTGTATTCGCAGTGAAGGATTGTCGCGACATATCGTAGCGTGCATCGAGGTTAAAAGTGAAACTATCGAAAAGTAAATCAATCGTGTATACGAAAAAGTAGAGCTACTCCGATTAAATTACTATTATTATATTATTATTATCACGTTCAATGCTTGCTCCTTTTTTGCAAATTGAAAATTCTTGATCGTTTTCTCAACTTGCAAAATAATCGAGACCTAAATAAACAAACGTTCGTGAAAAAACACTTTTCTTATCGCTATCACCTCCAAAAATATCGACGTTTCATTCCGAAATATCCTGCGAAATAAATGTTCTTCGGGAAATTATCTCGTACGTTCGTCGGTGTGCTCCTTTTCTTGACGAGTCATCTCGTTCGAAATATTTGCCCGCGCCAGCGACAAATCTCTGCGAGAGCACGCGATTCATAATTTCATTTCTCTCTCTCTCTCTCTCTCTCTTTCGGTGAGCCTGTTATTAACATTAATGACAATGGCAACCGCGAAAGTTACGAACTCGTTTCGTTATTTCTCACGTCGAATTGTCGCGGCACAGAGATCATTTGACAGCAAGAGTTCGGTTAAACTTACGGGTCATGTTTTTCAGTTCTTGATCTCCGATAAGCAAGTACTTGGAAATTCAATCACCCGAATTGAGGTGTGCGAAACGCACGGCCGAACGATGCACGCACGGGTCTCTTGCGGACTAATTTCCAAACCAAAATAAATATAGTTCTGCGTCGTCTCCGTAAACCCCACGGCGATCGCAGTGATGCCACGTGTTCCTAGCTAGTGACATTAGACGCATTGTTCGGACGATTGTCATTCGGAGCGAGATGGTACGTGTCAAATTACTTCGAGCACTCGCTCGACAAAAATAAAAATTTTTAACATCAATTTATATAAAAATTATAAAATCTTGCCACCAAAGTAAAATTTTTTTTCGTCGTGTTCTCCTCGATTTCAATGTACCTATATGTACTGTGGCTCTTTTTTTATACTCCAAAAAAATAAATTAGTTCCTCAAATACATACTTGAAAATATTGTTTATCCTACAAGACAAACTTTTATATTTGTTCTAGATATTCTGGAAAAATAGATGTGCGTGTGCATAGAAAAAATTAATGTAATTCAAATTCATGCAAACTCCTGTAAACAACATTAAACCAATTTAAATTTGAATTTATTGATTTGCGCGCCGATATTTATCAAAGAACATCTTATTAACAATATAATTAAATTTAGAATGTTTAATATGTATAAAAAAAACATGCTTATATAATTTACAAAAGTAGAAAATATTTTACATATCTCTGATATGAGAGTGCTCGATAAAAGGTAATAAACGTTCACGAACTGCACGACATGCAAGCGTCTCCATTCTTACGCGAACAAACAAGCATCGTTTCTAAGTTTTTACTCGCTTCTTGACTTAATTGATTTCGTCTTTCAACATTATCATCATTAGCGTCATCTTTGTTGGGGGACTGAATGGGGGTATTAGTGACAGTGGATGCGTTAGATATGGAATCATTATTTCGTAATTTAGATTTGTCCACTGTAAATTGTATAGGATTTGCAGCTGGCTTTGTTCGCAGATAGTACATGCCAGTCTTTAGACCCTGTAAATGATAATATATTTTTGACAGCTTGTATGATTCTATTACTTTGTTTGATTAGGAGGATCATTGATATAATTTAGAAAAAAATTGTCATCTATTCGAGCAATCTACGACATCGTAAATTTAAAAATGTCGAAACAAAATTATAGTAACTATAATATGTCACTTACGTTTCTCCAACCAAAGAAATGCATTGATGTGAGTTTCTCAGTTGTCGGGTCCCCTATGTGAACATTCAGAGATTGCGACTGATCGATAAAAGCTCCACGATCGGCCGCCATTTCGAGAATTACTTTTTGCGGTATCTCCCATACAGTCTTGTAGAGTGCTTTCAGATCATCAGGAATACATTCAATGTTCTGCAAAACATACCTCCTTAAAATTACGCTCACAAAAAATTTAAATGCGAGAAACAATAACAAGAGATAATTAAAATCGTACTTGAATAGATCCAAAGCTTGCAAGTATTTCATTTTGCATGTCCTTGTCCCATAATTTTCTGGCGGTTAGGTCTCGTAATAAATGAGGATTGACGATAACGTATTCTCCCGACAATACGCGTCTTACATAGATATTACTCGTATACGGTTCGATAGATTCGTTATTCCCTAAGATTTGTGCCGTCGACGCCGTTGGCATAGGTGCAATCAAAAGTGAATTTCTTACTCCATGCTTTGCGATTTTCTCCTTCAATTTATTCCAATCCCATAAATTTGTCGGCTTAACGTTCCACATATCATACTGGAGGATCTGACAAGGAACAATGTTACGTTATGATTGCAATGTATAGACCAAACATGATTCGCACAGTTATAAATGAAAATATATATACATATAAACACAATTAAAACAAATACAGTTACAAACTTACCCCTTTGCTAACTGGACTACCTTCATACGTTTCGTAAACACCTTTTTCCGCAGCTAACTCGCAACTCGCTTCCAAAGCACCATAATAAAGAGTTTCAAAGATCTTTATGTTAAGTTCTTTTGCCTCTTTGCTTTCAAATGGATACCGCATTAACAAGAAGGCATCCGCTAAACCTTGTATTCCAATACCTGAAGACACATGCGCTTTTTACATTTCTGACTCATTATATGATGCTTACAATATTTGATAATAAAAAAAACCATAATCTTACCGATAGGTCTATGTCTTTGATTAGATGTTTTCGTCTCCACAATGGGATAAAAATTGACATCGATAACTTTATCCAAATTACGAGTAACGATTTTTGCAACTGTTTTAAGTTTATCGAAATCGAAAGTCTTGTTATTTGTATTGACAAACATATTGACTGCAATAGATGCCAGATTACACACGGCAACTTCTCCAGGGCCAGAGTATTGAATAACTTCAGTGCACAAGTTGCTGCACTTGATTGTACCAATGTGTTGATGATTAGATTTGCGATTACAGTGATCCTTGTAAAGCATATAAGGAGTTCCAGTTTCTACTTGCGACCTGAGAATGGCGACCCACACAGTTCTGGCTTCTACTTGTTTTTTATAGCGACCTTCTTTTTCATATCTATAAAAACAATGTGTGTGTGGGTATAAATTCATATAAAATTTATTGCAGAAAGATATATAAATCATAGTTTTATTAAATTGTTAATAGAAAGGAGACTAATTGCTAGTGTGTATATGTACCTAATATACAAGTCTTTAAATTCATCACCCCAAACATCAGCCAAGCCAGGAGATTCGTATGGACACATCAAGCTCCACATTTCGTCATTATATACACGTTCCATAAAAAGATCTGGTATCCATAGACCATAAAACAAGTCTCTAGCTCGCATATTTCCATCCCCTATAAAAGAAAGTACACAATGTATATATAATAGTGTATAAAACATCAGTCAATGTGAGAAAAAGAAAATAGGAAAAAAAGAAACAGTTACCAATGTTCCTCCTAAGCTCTAGAAAATCAAAGATATCGGCATGCCATGGCTCTAAATAAATAGCAAATGCTCCTGGTCTCTTATTTCCACCTTGATCAACATAAATAGCCATGTCATTGTACAATTTTAAGACAGAAACCAAGCCATTGGTTGTTTCAATATTGTCTTCTGCATTTTTTGTACGAATGCAATGTACATTGAGCCCTATTCCACCAGCATATTTGCTAATGAGCGCACATTTCTTCAGTGTCCCATAAATACCTTTTATGCTATCGTCGTCGAGTGTTAAAAGAAAACAGCTGTAAAAAAATAATTCCTATTAAAATAATTTTAAAATATAGATATATTATAGAGATAATCAAATGCTATTATAATTACCTGGACATTTGTTGATTATTAGTACAAGCATTAAATAGCGTTGGTGAAGCATGTGTAAAATATCTTTCGGACAAATAGTTGTATGTTTCTATAGCTTTGTCAATGTCATTCTCATGAATACCGATAGCTACTCTCATCAACATATGTTGGGGTCTCTCTACTATTTTACCATTGATTTTCAACAGGTAACTTCTCTCAAGTGTCTTAAAACCAATATAATTATAATTGAAATCTCGATCATATATTATAGAAGAATCTATTCTTTCTGCATTATTCCTAATAATGTTGTAATATCGTTCACTGATTATATGTGTATTCTGTTTTGTGACAGAATCCTTGGCATGGTATAAGTCATGCATGACCTCTGCAAAAATAAAAAGGATAGAATTATATCATATCATTTTAATACATTACGATACAAATATTGACTTGAATAAATACATCCAACTATCGTACCACTAAAACTCTTCTTAGTCTCCTTATGTAAATTAGACACATCAATCCTTGCAGCCAATATAGCATAATCAGGATGATTAGTTGCCATGGTAGCTGCAGTTTCAGCTGCCAGATTATCTAATATGACCGTAGTTACTCCAGAATATAAACCACGTATTACTTGAATCGCGACAGCAGACTGCAAATAATAAATTCACTTATTATATACAAATTGATATTGTTAAAAATTTATAAAATTTTTCTTTCTCTTTTATATATACATGCAATATTATTTTTGTTAAAAAGATGTAAAATATAAAAATAGAAGTTTATATATATATATTTTTTTTTCTTAATTATATATATATATATATACAATGTATATATTGTATATATTCTTCTATTTCATATCATTATATTATAAAATTATATACGATAGATATGCTATATACTTACTGGATCTACATAATTCATATCTAAATTATAACACTGCTTGGCAATTCTTGAAGTGATTTTATCAAAGTGAACATCCTCCTTACGTCCATCTAAGAATAATAATTTTTTAATTCATGCTTTTTGTTTAAACATCTTTGATAAAAATTTATATAATTATATATAAAGATACCCATTTATATAAATTTAAAATTTATATATTTTTATATATACACACAATATTAATATAAGACTAACCACAATATAGTTTAATTTTTACCAAATTATTAATTTTTTTACTTTATCATCTATTCTCCACAAACACGCATATAAATTTTATATATGTATATATGTAAACTTTTTTTTACTGGTTGGACAATATTTATAATAATTATTATATATAATAATATGTTATATAAATAGAATTAGAATTATACTCCTAAAAATATATTAAAATTTTTTTTAATTTTTTTTCCAGGTTAAAAAGTGCCTCCACAATTTATAAATGAAGCTTTCTAACACACTTCACCTAGCCAACAATGGAACACGGTCATATGATTATCTATTAAACACTTACTACGCTTGATGACATACATCTTTCCTCGCGCAACTTCCTTGGCTGGCATTTTTAAAGGGGAAGAATTATTATTTCCGAGAGAAAGCATCTTCACTTTCGCGTTTAATTCCATCTTATATTAGTCAAAGATTGATACAAACTCCTTTTTCTACAATTTGAGTTGGCACCGATCGGAAAACTAACACAAACGGACTCTCCCAGATTTCTTCATCCATCAAGAAGTTTAGGCGCGAAACGGAAGAACATATGTTTGTCATGCGCGTTACGATTCATCAATTCTAACCAATAGCGAGCGTGCTTCTTGGGTTGCGTTCAAAAATCTACTCGGAGTAGAGCAGCGTTTGATTGACCAATCAGGATAAAAAAATCTTATGTTCTGATTGGTCAATCAAATTCCTATATCTTTTGTTCTGATTGGTCAATCAAATTCTTAAATCTTTTATTCTGATTGGTCAATCAAACTTTTATTCCGAGTAGTTTTCTGAACGCATATCGATATATGTATAAATACGTAATAAAATGTCAGTATGTATTAGGCCCTGCGCACAATAGAGAAAATATTAGGAATAGGAATAAAATATTAAATATCAGGAGGAGCAATTTGGAATTATTTTACTTCAAACAAGGGAACGGAATTGATTAACGCATAATGAAATAAAAAAATAAAAATTAGAAATAATTAATCCATTCCGTTTCCTTGTTTAAAGTAAAATAATTCAAAATTGCTCCTCCTGATATTTAATATTTTATTTCTATTCCTAATATTTCCTCTATTGTGCGCAGGGCCTTATTGTATAATAATAAAAATGATTGTGTGTGTGTGTATGTGTGTATGTGTATATGTACAAAATATGATATAACAGCGAAAGCGATTGCGTCCAATACCCAATATATATATGTATTGTTATAAAATGCCAGTGTGTGTAATAGTCTGTAAATTATATTTTGTAATTTTTAAAAACCCAATAAACTGTATTAATAATACAAAACGCATATGTCTTTTGAATGAAAACATACCCATCCATTTCCATACATCTTGTCGGGCTGCATATATCTCTTGTTAATTAATATATATTTTCTTGATACATTTTTGCGGATTTTTTATTTCTCTTGTTAATTAATATATATTTTCTTGATACATTTTTGCGGATTTTTTATTCTTGGAATTTCTGAAACTGCATTTCTTGGAATCAAGTATCAGGAGAACATAATCAGCAAAAAGGTGGCACAAATCAAAATTTAAAAAAGCGCGAAAATTCAAAGCTTGGAATCCACAAGTATTAGGAGAATATGATCAGCAAAGAGGTGGTGTATCAGGAGAACATAATTCGTAAGGAGGTGGCACAAATTAAAACTTAAAAAAGCGCAAAAATTTGAAGTTTCGAAATCCGCAAAAGTATCAGGAGAACATGATCAGCAAAGAGATCGCACCAAGTTAAATTACAGAAAGCGGAAAATTTAAAGCTTCGAAATCTGCAAAAGTATCAGGGAACATGATCAGCAAAAGAGATCGCACCAAGTTAAATTACAGAAAGCGGAAATTTTAAAGCTTCGAAATCCGCAAAAGTATTAGGAGAACATGATCAGCAAAGAGGTGGGGTATCAGAAGAACATAATCAGCGAGAAGGTGGCACAAACTGAAATTGTTAAAACGCGAAAATTTGAAGCTTTGAAATCTGCAAAAGTATTAGGAGAACATAATCAGCAAAGTGATGGTCCAGACTAAAATTTCAAGAAGCGTGAAAATAAAGCTTCAAAGTCCATAAAAACATTTTTTTTTTGTTGTTTTGCGAAGGAAGAGAAAAATGCATTATGCATTCCCATCGGTCGGTCCAGTGGGATATGCGAGACTCGCACCCGCTAAAAAGCTCTCCCTATAGGGCCAACTTTTAGCCTCCTGCCGATACTTATATAAATTTAAATTTTGAGATGTCGGGAACATGATAGGCAAAGAAAGGTGATACAAATATTAACTTTAAAAATTGAAATTTTAAAAACTCCAACTTTATTTTCTTTTCTCATTTACAGCATAATGAAAATTATTATGTAAAAATTAATTGTTCTTACAACTCATTTCTCAATTTTCACAAATGATCGCTATACAACTTATAAACACCTATGAAAAAAAAAATCCATATATATTAAAAAATTCCATATATATATGGAATATGTCTAATATATATAGACTTGCAAAATGTGAAGATTTGAATAAAAGATATAAGCTTCTTTAATTTCAAGGAAGGATATTAATGTCGAGAAAGCGGCCCAACAAAAAACTTGAGTATTCTTCTAGATATTAAACATTAATAATGCCAACATTTATAGTAGTTTAACAAACAGCGTTTTAATCTCATGGATATATTTACACAAAAAATTGTCTCATCGTAGTATTCGTAGAAAGGCCAGATATAATCACGTCGTTAAGGAGATTCAATCGAGAGAAAAATAATTCTTAACGCCAATCGTGCGAATCGAGTATCCGCAGAACTATCGTACATTCAACTATATCTCGTAATGCGTATCACGATTTGCTAAATAGACATCTCTTATGTACGTACTTACAATAATATATACACGTACTCTTTGCTCGCTCGTCGGACGCGCGTGTACTCTGTATGTACTTTGATAACGTGTTATGGAAAGTTTATAGGAATCGAGTTATCACCGATAAGATGATAATGTTTCGGGATTAAATTCTTGGTAGGAATGGCAGCAAGAAATTTGTAGAGAAACACGTGCGTTTCACATTTTTCTCTCTTCTTTAAAGACAAGTATACTCGCCGGTCCGACAACTTGTTGCATTCATCAATGTTTACAAATTCTAAAATTTACTATTTACATTCCATCGTGATAACACACATACACATACGCACTCTAGAAATACGAATATCGCGACAATACACGAGATTCGAAAGGAAAACTTGCCGTATTGATGAGAAATTCGCGAATATGACGCGTAGACATTAAGCGAGTACGGCCTGTCTTCCTTAATTGTCCGTAATCGTTACTTAATTAATCGCCTGCCTAACGCGGCCTAGGGACGATTTATACCTTTGGTAAGAGACAACAAGACGCGCGATAATACGACAGTTACGAACAGCTAGCGCTTAACAATTCCGAATTGCGCGCGAATAAAATTACGAAAGAATCATTAATTTCAGTACTGGATAAATGACTAATTTATGAATCAGCTGTACTGTGTCATGGGGTGATTGCCTGCTAAGTTTTTTGTAAAAAATAAAACAACTATAAAAACTATATAAGAAACATCGTAAAAAATTATTTCGAGCTCTCTTTCTGACATTATAATATTATGACTAGTGCACATTCTATAGTTTGAATAAAAAATCAAAGCTCATGTAAGAAATTAACAAAGATATAGGAGGCATAGACTGTTTCTCAACAAGCTAGACATAGCAATATAACAAAAGATATAACGATATTTATTCATGTCTCTCTCTTTTCTTATTAAAAATAAAAGAGACAAATCTTTCCCCTATAAGAAAAAAGCGATGAGCTTCGTTAAGTAACTTATTTATTCTTTACATTCGAGCAAATACTTTCTGTTTATGTGGTGAATTGGACAGTCTATGCTTTCCATACCTATGAAAATTAACGACTTGAGAATGCAAATAATTCGATCGTTTAAGTACAAGCTCGGATGAAGCTCTATGTAGAAATCAATTCTGAAATCTATACTCAATCTATACGACGCATCATACTCATTTTATCCGTACTCTCTGCTTCTTCTAAAAATACAGACGGATAAAATCAACGGACTTTTACAAAATCGCCACGATACGTACAAACATTATACAACGCACTATGTACAAACGCATCTTTCAAACTCCAAACAGTCATTCTAACGCCATTGAGAAGCTATTCATTCCGTTACACAAAAAATATCATTTCCACGTTTACATTGTTAAATTCGCGCTTTCAATCTTATTATAATATTTCATTAATTTATACATATACACTCGCTTATGGTGTAACAAAGAAGTTTTACATTTAAATAAATAAAGGAAATGTTTAAATAAAAAAAAGAACAAGAGTATTTTTCGCGACGCAAACTAATCAAGGGAGAGAGAATAGTATTTTTACACGATCATCCGCACTCGGTGCTATTCATTATTGTTAACACAAGTGCGTAATTTCAATTAAATTAATTTTATGCGTATATATTCTCTCTTTCTCCCTTTTTCTTATTACTAAAATGTCCCGGCGTATATTATAGTACAGAGAAGATATCGCTTGGTCTCGCTTTGTACTTTAATAAAAAGTGGTAAAGACAGTATACAGTTACATTGGTGTTTCTCTTGATAGGACTCTAAATTATTCGTCCCGGGGCTTCGAACGCCTAACGAGACGAGAGGCGTCACTGGTCCAAATCATCTTTGTTATATCGTTGAGATCTACATGCAACGGCACACGAAAAGAAAGCTGCGGCTCTTGCGTAATAATAAAAAGTTGCCTCGCGCAACCGCAGCGCTTTTAGCCTTTAGAGGACCAATGGAGATTCTTTTTGGTAAGTAGAATAATAATTCTTTATACACACTCTCTATAGTTGATTACTCCGAACACAAATTAAGACAGATGATACAACGCTTTGCACGTACAGAAGAAGCATCATATTCGATACGTATAATATAATGGAAAAAAGAATTGCGAACGACGC